TATATATATATATTTTTTTAAATTATAGTTGGACACAATATCTTTATTTATTTTTATGTGGTGCTGAGGATCTAACCCAGTGCTTCAACATGCAAGGCGGGCACTCTACAACTGAGCTACAGCCCCAGCTCCAGATTTTCTCCCATTCTATAGCCTTTTCTTTGTTGTGAAGAAGCATTTTAGTTTGATACCATCCAATTTATTGATTCTTGATTTTACTTCTTGCGCTTTAGGAGTCTTGTTGAGGAAGTTGGTTCCTAGGCTGACCTGATGGAGAGTTGGGCCTACTTTTTATTCTAGTAGGTGCAGGGTCTCAGGTCTATGTCCTTGAAACACTTTGAGTTGAGTTTTGTGCAGGGTTAAAGATAGGGGTTCAATTTCATTCTGCTACATATGGATTTCCAGTTTTCCCAGCACCATTTGTTGAAGAGGCTATCTTTTCTCCAAAGTATGTTTATGGTGCCTTTGTCTTGTATGAGATAACTGTATTTAAGTGGGCATGTCCTGTGTTTTCTCTTCTGTTTCATGGGTCTTTATCTCTGTTCTGGTGCCAATACATGCCATTTTTGTTACCATAGCATTGGATTATAATTTAATGTCTGGTGTTGTGATGCCTCCTGCTTCACTTTTCTTGTTGATGATTGCTTTGGCTATTCTGGGCCTCTCATTTTTCCACATTGTTTTATTTTAAAATTGCTTGTGTTTTTATATTTAAAACATGTTTCTTTCAGGCAGAAAATAGCGGTCTTGTCCCCCCCACCCCAATCCTTACAACCTCTGCTTCTAGTTGGGCTTTTTAAATCATTTGCATTTATTGTGATTATTGATAGGGTTAGGTTTAAATTTATCATTTTGATATTTGTTGTGTAGTTATCCCATCTGTTCTTTATTCTTCTTGTTTTTATTTTGCCTTCTTTTGAAATGAGTATTGTTTATAATCCCACTTTCCAATTATATTTTAAGGATATTTAAATAATTAATTCTCATATAATTACTCATATAATTACTATTTCCAGTATTCTTCATTCCTTTACAGAGATCTCAGCTTTCATCTGATATTATTTTCCTTCTTCCTGAAGGATTTCCTTTAATGTGTGTGTATTTGTGTGTGTGTATGTGTGTGTGTATTTTTTTTTAATCGAAGATCTGCTGGTAATAAATTCTTTCTGAAAACGTCTTTGTTTCCTTTGAAAATCTTATGTTTTAATTTGTTGTCTTCATTGGGAATTTCATATTCACTTTTCCAGTCAAAAAAGCATTATGTGCTTATTAGATACTTACGGGTATTAGGTACCTATTATGTTGCCAGGTATTCTCCTAGACATTTGGATATATAGCAGTGACCAAATCAGGGGGGAAAAACTGTCTTAATAGAAATTAAATTTTTCTTGGGGTAGCAGATAACAAATAAGTCAATATAAAGTGAACAAAAAAGCAATAAGAGCTATGGAGAAGGGAATAGGAACATTCTGGTTGGGTTGTGGGGATTTTCATGGGCTAGTTAGGAAAACCACAGGATGAGAACAGAGAGGCAGTGAGGGTTGGATTATGGAATGTCTCACAGGAATATTAAATGAAGTGAAAGGTCACTACAGGGCTTTGAATCAGAAATGACTTGATCTGACTTAAGTTTTAAAAGGATTACTGTGGCTTCTATTTTGAAAATGAACTGTGTTGGAGAGTGGGAGCAAGAACACAGTGAATCAGGAGGCTGGTATAATAATCCATTTAGCAATGATGACAGTAATTCAGACCTGTGAGAAGTGGTTGGATTCTGGATATCTTGAAGGTCAGTGTGAAGGATTTGCTAATGGATTGGATATGGGTATGAGAAAAGGAGCAGGTAATGATTCCATGGCTTTGGCCTAAAGAAATGGATGGATAGAATTATTTTTCGAGGTGGGAAAACTAAGAGTCAGATGCCTGCCTCCACCTAGCATATGATGGGTACTTTTAAAATATTGGATGAATCCATGTATGAGGAGGTTATGAATTCAAGATTAGGGCTGTTAATTTTGAGATGACTGTCAGACCATTACATGGAGATGTGGACAGGGCAATTAGAGGTAACATTCTGGAGAGCAGGAGAGAAGTCCAAATTGGGATTCTTGTGCAAGTCACTGGTTGCCACTTGGAAGAATTATAAAATATTTGTGGAAGGAAAACTATCCCATTTATAGTAACATCAAAAAATAAAATACTTGAGAATAAATTTTAAAAAAAGAGGTGAAAGACCTCCACAATGAAAACTACAGGGCCCTAAAGAAAGAAATTGAAGAAGACCTTAGAAGATAGAAAGATCTCTTATATTCTTGGATAGGTAGAATTAATATTGTCAAAATGTATATACTGTCAAAAGTGCTATACAGATTAAATGCAATTCCTATTAAAATTACAATGACATTCTTCATTAAAAATATAAAAAGCAGTCATGGAATTTATTTGGAAAAATAAGAGGCCCAGAATAACAAAAGCAATCCTTAGCAAGAAAAGTAAAGCAGGAAGCATCACAGTACCAGATGGTAAATTATACTACAGAGCTACAGTAATAAAAACAACATGGTATTGACACCAAAACAGACATGGAGACSAGTGAAACAAAAGAGAAAACACAGGACATGCCCACATAAATACAATTATTTCATATTAGCCAAACACACCATAAACAGCTTTGGAGAAAAGATAGAAAATGGTGCTGAGAAAACTGGAAATCCATATGTAGAGAATGAAATTGAACCCCTATCTCTAACCCTGTACAAAACTCAACTCAATGGCTGGGGTTGTAGCTCAGTAGTAAAGCACTTGCCTAGCATGTGTGAGGCATTGGGTTTAATTCTCATAAATAAAGCACATAAATAAATAAAATAAAGGTCCATGGGCAACTAAAAGCAATATATATATTTTAAAAACCTCATAGTGGATAGAGGACATAGACCCAATATGAGAAAAAAATATTCACCAATAAAAACAGAGTGACAACCAGAGATATGAAAAATTGTGCTCAATATGTGTGATATGCATTCTGTAATGCATTCTGCTGTCATATATAACAAATTAGAACAAAAAAGAAACATACACATACACAAAACAGAGTGAAAGAATAAACTGTGGTATGGTCACTGAATAGTATTCTACAATAAGGAAAAAAAATGACATGCAACAGTGTTTATGAAGCCAAACAGAAAAAGTATTTCTGTATGATTCTATTTTTATAAATAAAACTAAAGTATGTTATTAGAAGTCAGGATGGACATTATTAGAGGGGAGGAGAATGTAAATAGTGGTTAAACAGTGCTGGGAGCTCTTCTGGAAGTCTGGTAATGTTTTACTTTCCCCTGGTAGTGGTGATTTATTTGCTTGATTATCCTTCATTGAGCTGCACATTTAGTTTTGGATACTTTTTGGCATACATGTTACATTTTTTTWAAAAAAATGTTAAACTGTCATGTTAATGTACCTCCTTGGGAAAAATCTGTTGTCTAGGCTCTAGTTTTCCAAGCTGTGCTTGAGTCCTGGCTATCCTCTTTCTAAGTGGTCATGAATTATAAAAGGTAACCTGTGTAAACTATGGTGGGAAGATTGTTCCACAAGTAACCAGGCTCCCAATACTGGGAAAGAGGCAGAATAGCAGTCACTGAAAGAATTAGTGCAGAGCTAAGCCTGATTCCCTTGACATCGAAAATTTTTATTATTAAGTTTGTGCTTTAAAATGAATTAGAACTCAATAGGAAATTGTGCATGGAAGTATAACATTAAAGCTCCAAAACCTGTATACATAACTATAAGATAGAGCATTATTACTCAATAGATTACAGGACATTATAAACATATATCTTAAGTTGGGTTAGTTATGTTAATTATTTTGCTCTTTTAGCATTAAGGTGTGCTATAATTTCTCCTTTATACAAAGATGTTTGTCTTCTAGTGTTTATTCAAACTATTAAAGTAACCTACATAGTACAGTTACTTAAGAACCAAATCCTACGCTTACATATGTATTGGTCATGTCCTCATTGATACTTCAGTTGCCTCAATTTCTTACCACAGTTCAAATAGTTAGCACTATAGACCAAATCTAACAATATAAAATTTAAGAGGGATAAATGCAAGGCCTTACAAGGTTTAAGATGAAAAAAAGGAAAAGTATAAGTTACCAACATGGGTGATAAATTTCAGGGTGTTAATTTATTTAAGATCTACCTCTTCAATGAGACTGCCCCTGAAAAGGTTAATGATTGTAGGCTGCACTGCTTCAGTAATAGGAGATAAAACTAGATCATAGCAAGATTATGGTAAATTTGTGGTATCATGTTTTGTGTGACATTGACAAACTATAGCTCATCCAAAGGAAGGCTGCAGATTTCAAGAGGTTGTGAAAAATGGATTATTTGGCTGAATAAACTAGGACCCTGAAGTATCATAACAACTTTATAAGGCATTATCTCCATTTTATAGAGGAAAATTGAGGCTCAGAGAGAATAAATTATTTATTAAAATGTATGTAATTGAAAAGTGGTTGGCTCAGGACCCAGATCTCTTTTTTTATAATTTGTTTATTTATTATAATTTGTTATGCATAGCAACAGAATGCATTTCAATTTATAGTACACATATAGAGCACAATTTTTCATTTCTCTGGTTGTACATAAAGTAGAGTCACACCATTCGTGTCTTCTTCAATAGATGAATGGATAAAGAAACTGTGGTATATATACACAACGGACCCACATCTCTTGATTATTAATCTGGTATTCTTTCTGTTTAAAAATATTGGTGTTTAATTTTATTTCTTAAAAGCTTAGCTGTTGTCCCAGGAAATATGAGGAAAAACTTGAAGCTATGAGGGAAAGGCTACAGATTAAATGAAAGGCAAGGGAACATTCAGGGTAGGGAGAATGTTTCTCATATTTTCTCTGTTTGAGAAAATAGTTGGATTGTTAGAATTATGTTTATTAGTATTACAGAAACATTTTTTTAAACATATTTTTCTCTTTTTCAAGGTTTTCGATTCCAATGAAGAATCTGGGTATCTTGTTCTCACCATAGTTATATCTGGTCACTTCTTCATTTCCCAGGGACAGACACTACTGGTAGGTCTTATGCCTAATTATTATGCAAATGTGTTTCTTTATCTTCTTAGTTTTACATTCATTTTTGTACCCTCAAACTTCTTCATTCTCACTGAAATTCTGTAAGTTCAACAAATTAAGCATTATCAAACATGCTATAACAGTAGAGAGAGAAATATACTGTATATCACCTGCTCTAAAGATGTTTAGGATTTAGTGAATCAAAGTATATCAAAGGATTGAGATTAACCACTATGATAAATTTTTTTTTAATTGGGGAGATTGATTTGAAGAAAGGCTAGATGTATAGAAAAGGCCAGAGGGCTTTCCAGGTAGGGAAAACAGCATATGCAGAGGGAATGGATTTGAGGAATTAGCTGAACGAAAACCAAGGATGTTGTTATTGATTGGTAGACTCCTCCAAAAAATTCTTATTTATGAAGAAGCATTTGTTCTTTACTCTGTGTATGTATACATTTTAGAAAATTTTAGAATTAAGAAATATGTGAAATAAAAAATAAGAATAATCTTGCTTACAAGTTTAGGGTTTTTTTAGTATATTGAAATAACAAAGAATTATTAACTCTTAATCAAAAAAATCATATAAGTAGGGAAAGGTTGAGGCTGGGGTTGTGGCTCAGTGGTAGAGCACTTGCTGCGCATGTGTGGGGTACTGGTTCAATCCTGGGCATCACATAAAAATAAATAAAATAAAGGAATTGTGTCCATCTACAACTAAAACTATTTTTAAAAAAGAAGGGAAAGGTTATAGAAGGATATTACATCATTTGGCCATGAATAATGTTTACATAGGCATAATAAATTCAAATAACAAATATTTCCTGAATATATACCTAGATGTAGTTTACTCAATTAACAAGTATTTATTGAACACTCTTGTACACTAGGCATTTTAACTTGGGAACTAGTGACATAGCAGTGAACAGTACAGACAAAAATCCCTGTCATTGTGGACTGTCGTCATTCTAGTGAGGAGAAACATTAATAAGCAAATAGGCCAAATATATTTAAAAGACATTAATTTTTTGGTGAATCCCTTACATGTTCTGCTCTGATATGATGGTGATGGTAGGGTATATTGTGATGATTCATCTTTCTACTTAAAGGAAATATGGCTTTATCCCTGAATGTGAAGTGACCTGCAGAGTCATCTTTGTGCTCCTCATGACTTTTAAACTGCAGTATGAGTTGCACTGTTTTGTTTTGTCTGCCACTGTCAGGGCCTGCATTCCTTGCACTTTAGATGTTTAATGAAGAATACTCCAGACCATAGCCGTAGGGATGCCTAGCACATCTAGTTCTCCCTTTCAGTGTTATAGGTCTTTGTTGAATGGTGATATTAATACAGCTTGACTTCCTCAGGATTGTCTCTGCTCCATCTTTTTTGCACAGTTGTGTCATTACAAAATGGTCAGAGTTTCTTTGTATCATATGTGGAATGATTTTTGCAATGCAGTTAAATAACCAAGTTTATTAAATTCCAAGATAACCACTACTGAGAAATAGAAGGGTAATTCTTAACTCTACAACTTGATGCATTCATATGTGCATCTGTAACTTCAATATTGAGTAATAAAAAATCTTGTACTGTTATGTGTAACTAATTAAAACAAAAAAAAAATAAAAATAAAAAGTAAAAATTAAAAAAATTAAAAAACAAACAAACAAAAAAATCTTTAAATAAGCTTTTGTTTGTGTATGTTTTTATCTTTCTTTGGTTAAATGCCTAAGAAAGGAAGGTACGTACTGGTGGGTCAAATGAAATGTCTCTTTTTAACTTTATAGGAAAGTACAAAACAATTTTCTAAAGTTGCAGTTCCATAAGCACTGTGTGAGGGTTCTACCTGTTCCATATACTCACCAATGCTTGTTGTTGTTTTTTTTTTTTTTTAACTATTCTAGTACCCAGTAATATCTCAAGGTCGTTTTAATCTGTTTTTCTTTAATGACTAATGAAATTGTGCATCTTTTCATGTGTTTGCTTGTCATTTGCAGGTCTCATTGGTGCAGTGTTTCTTCCTGTCTCTTAACTATTTTCAGTTGAGTTGTTTACATTCTTGTATTCGAATTATAAAAGTCTTTGTTTCAGTTACACCTCTTTTTATCAGAGCATGTACTGCAAATATTTCTCCAGTTTGTGGCTGGCATTTTTATTTTTTAGTGTCTTTTGAAAAACAAGTTTAAAATTTTGAGGTTCATTTTTTTCCTGTTATGATTCTTGCTCTTTGAATGCTATTTAATCAATTTTTATCTACTCCAGGTTTACAAAGATTACTATTTTCTTCTGGTTTTAAATAGTTGTAGCTCTTATATTTAGGCCTGTGGTATATTATTAAATGTTTAGTATTATTTGCTAATATTATTTTTATTTTGTATAGAATTCTTTCCCTCAAAGCAATGTGACACTGATAAAAATTATTTTATTATACAATATAATCATGGATCTTAGGGAATTTACATTTTAAATCATTGAGTTAATTTTTAATGTATGGTGAAGTTAAGGATTTGGGCTTGCTTTTTTACATGTGGATATCAATTATTCTGGCAGCATTTATTGAAAAGACAGCTTTTCCTCCCTTGTTGAATTACCTTAGCACCTTTATTGAAAATCAATTTGCTAGRTTTATTTCTGGACTCTTTTCTGTTCTGCTGACTTATATGTCTATCCTTATTCCTGATTCTTGATTATTTTTGCTTTCTTATAATTTTTGATATCAAGTAGTATAATTCCTCCAATTGTGTTCTTTTTCCAAGTTGTTTTGGCTATTCTAGGTTATTTGTATTTCCATATACATTTCAGAGTAAGCTTTCCTACAGTAAAGCTTGCTGGAGTTTTGATTGGGACTCCTTTGAATCTACAAATCAATTTGGGGAGAATTGACTTCTTATTATTGAGCCTTCCAAACTGTGAACATGTTTTAACTCTCCATTTATTTTTATCTTTAATTTTTCTCAGGAGTGTTTTGTGATTTTTACACTACAGGTCTTACACAAACTTTGCTAAATTTGTCCAAATATTTCAATTTTTGTTATTGTAAATAGTAAAAATAGATATACAATAGTTTTTTGCTGGTGTGTAGGTAGAGACATGGGGTCAGTAAATATTAAAAAACCAGTTGTATCCTCATCTATTAGTTCTGTAGCTTTTATGTAGATTGCTTAGGATTTTCTACATAAATGATCTTTTGTCAGCAAGTAAAGAGAGTTTGACATTCTTCCTTACCAATCTGTGCACTCTTCTGACCCCCTCTACACTCTTTCTCCAGATTACACTGACTAGGACATCTTTTATAGTATTGAATAGAAATGGTGAGATTTGCTGGGTATGGTGGCGCATGTCTGTAATCCCAGCAGTTTGGGAGGCTGAGACAGGAGGATTGTGAGTTCAAAGCCAGCCTCAGCAAAAGCGAGATGCTAGGCAACTCAGTGAGACCCTGTCTCTAAATAAAATACAAAATATGGCTGGGGATGTAAAGAATGGTGAGACTTGACCTCCTTTCCTTGTTCCTGATCTTAGAGGGAAAGCATTCAGTCTTTTCACCATTAAGTATAAAGTTAGCTATAGAGTTTTTTGTGGATGCACTTTAGAAAATTGAGGAGTTCCCTTCTATTCCTAGTTTTCGAAGAGATATTATTCCCTCTTTCAGATTCTGATTATTTTTAAATAAAATTTGTGTATGTATTTAAGGTATCGAGTGTGATATTTTGATATACATTGAAATTATTACTATAATCAAGCTAGTTAACATGTCATCACCTGATATAGTTACCATTTTGTGTGTGGATGTGTATGGTGAGAATACTTAAGATCTGTTCTCCTAGCAAACTTAAAGTACACAGTATACTATTAACTGTAGTCACCATGCTTTACCTTAAGTCTCTAGAATTTATTCATCCTACACAACAAAAGCTTTAAATCCTTATGCCAACATCTTCTATTTCCTCTTTACCATCTCACCACCCCTAGTATTCACCCTTCTACTATCTATTTGTATGGATTCAACTTTTTTTAAAACATATTTTTAGTTGTCAATGGACCTTTATTTATATGTAGTGCTGAGAATCGAACCCAGTGCTTCACACATACTAGGCAAGCGCTCTACCACTGAGCTACAACCCCAGCCCTGGATTCAACATTTTTAGATTCCATATATAAATGAGATCTTGAAATATTTTTCTTTTTGTGTCTTGCTTAATTCAGTTAGAGTATGTACTCCAGGTTCATCCCCATTGTCAAAAACGTGTAAATGTATGCATGCATTACACTTTCTTTATCCATTTATCCATTGATGGACATTTAGATTGTTTCCATTTCTTGGCCATTGTGAATAGTTAGTGCTGCAATAAATGTGAGTGCAGATGTGTCTTCCAAATATCATTTCTTTAGATACATAGCTAGAATTGGGATTGCTGGATCATACAGTAGTTATTTATTAATTTATTTATAGAATTTTCATACTGTTTTCCATAGTGGCTGTACCAATTTATATTCTCAGCAACAGTGTATAAAGGTTTCCCTTTCTTCACATCCTTACCAACATTTATCGTTTGTCTTTTCAATAATAGTCATTCTAAGAAGTAGGAGGTGACACTTCATTGGGGTATTGATGGTCAGTTATGTTGACAACCTTTTCATAGGCCTGTTGGTTATTGGTCTTTGGAAAATTATCTATTCAGGTCTACTAAATTTGGATATTAATCATCCCCCAAAGGTCCATGGATTAAAATGTTCTATATTTATATTCTCAAATTTTTGTTGAAGCTGCACCTCTTTTCCCCCTCCCCAAAAGTCATTTATTTCAGGGAAACTGATGGCTAGGGCCCAATAACAGCTTTGTGTGTATGATAATGTTTTTTATAGAAATTCCGAAGTCAGCAAAGCTTTGGGCTTTCTACTTGGTCTTGAGTAGCTATTTAAACTTAAATATTAAGTATTCAGTTCTTAATGAATCAACCTTTATAGCAGAAGTACTTATAGAAGGTCCTTGTTCTCAAGAGTG